CGGGAAGAAGCTTCTGAGGCGATTTTTAAGAGAGAAAATCAGTGGGTATCACAGAGGTAAGTGATTTGATTATTAAAACTCGTTTATGGGTGATTATAGACCATAATCCCAGCCTTTAATTCATGAAAAACAGTAGAAAAATAGGATTTTGGGGCCTGAGATTATGAGACATTTAGGGGTCGATTTGATGGGTCAAACGGACTCCGATTTTGGTGTTCTTTATATGTACGGAATTGGCAGAAGATGCAGAACACTTTTCTGTAAAAATTTCTGAGTTTCGAGAAGTGGGCCCGGGGCTTGGGTTTTGTCAATTTCGGGATTATTGATGTTTTTCGATTATTTTCGATTGGGTATTGATGCTATAGCATAATGTGACGTATTCGTTGTGGTTTTGGTCAGATTCGACGCGCGAGGAGGTCGATTTGAGAGTCAAGGGCATAGCGAGCTAGGATTTTGGCCGGCTTGAGGTTAGTAATAGATGTAAATGTTGTGTTAAGGGTTTGAAACCCCGAATTTGCACATTATAGTGCTATGTTGAGGTGACTTGCACGCCGGATAACGGGCGTGGGGTAGAGCACCGTCGGGGATCGTGACTTGGTCCGTCCCGCTTAATAAAATTACTACCTAATTGATTGAAGCTTAGTAGATATCCTTATAAAAATGGATTAATTATCATAATTGGGCTTCGTGCCAACTGATTGAATCCTTCAGGGATTGTTTTTACTGGTTTCTTACCATATTTTCAGACAATTGAACTCAGTCCTAGTATTTAGTATTGTTTTGCAAACTCAGCCACTTTTTCTCAAAATTTGGAACTTAAATAATATTTCTAATGAAGTTTGGGCTGAATATTTCCATATTATTGTGCCCGAGGGGCTTATATGATTCTGGACTGAGTATGGGATCGGGCTGCGCGCCGCAGCAGTATTATATTGATATTGATATGAGGCTTAGGGCCTAATGGATGCCACGAGATGGCTTGATATTGCGCTTGGGCCGTAAGGGGCCCCTCCCGGAGTCTGCACACCCCCAGTGAGCGCCATCGACGATAAATAAGTGGAGTGTGCTGCACGCCGCAGCGGGTACTTGAGAGTACCGTACTATTTGTTGCATGTCTTAGTTGATTGTCATTCATTTACTCATCTGTTGCAGCATCATTGTTTTCATTGGTTTATTGAGTTGACATTATCTAGATTAAACTGCTGTAATTATAGCTTACATTGTGCCTATCCAGGATTTCTTACTCTCAACCCTTATTTATGTTTATTACTCTCTGGGTTGGAAGTACTCACATTACTCCCTGCACCTTGTGTGCAGATCTATGTGCACCCACTGAGGCTGAGTGAGGATTTCTCTGCCGAGCATCATATCTGGGAGCATCAAGGTAGCTGCATGACGTCCGCAGTCCTGATCTTCCCATCTAACCTATTTGCTTTATTTCCGCATTTCTTTAGAGCAATATGTAGTAGGTTGACACCCGTGTATTAGAGGCTCAGACTTGTGACACCGGATTCTTCAGGCTGTGTAGTAGTATTTCTACTTGGGTTTTCTGCATGTTTTAATTATATTTTAGAGTTTCAGTATTATGACTTAGTAATTATTTGTGTTAATTGAATCATGAACTGTATAAAAAGGGTTAAGGTTGTTGAATTGGTCGGGCTTGCCTAGTAGTGTGTTGGGTGCCATCACGATCGGGGTTGGGGTCATAACAAGTTGGTATCAGAGCCTAGGTTACTTGGTCTCGCGAGTCATGAGCCGGTTTAGTAGAGTCTCGTGGATCGGTACGGAGACGTCTGCACTTATCCTCGAGAGGCTGCAGAACCTTTAGGAAAACTACACATTCTTGAATTCTTATCGTGCGTCCTTGATTCAGCTTGAAAAGAAACTCTTGAAATTCCTTCCACGTGTTCGTACGCACGCATGAGCGCTCAGTATCAGATGTGCCTTGATGGCTTGTGATTCCCCGATCGAGGGGCGAGATGTAATCTCTGTGAGTTTATGTTGGGCCAGTCTGGAGGACTTGAGGCCGGATCTTTTTCTATGGCTTGAGCACCGAGGTGCTGATTGTGTGAGCAAGTGTTTCGAACTTATATGTTCGGCATTGCCCCTATTAGTGGGAGTGACGGCCGGTTAGCTACGTGGTGAGTATGTTAGTGCTGCAAGGTGCATCTATGTGACTTGGAGGTGATGAGGAAGGCCTNCTAAAAATTTCAGCACTTAGTAAGCTGAAGTTTTTGTCCTGGATTCATTAATTTATTCATACAGATTTTTCAAAAACTTCAGCCCATTGTTCTGAAGTTAGTTAGTTCATTTCTAAAAAATTCAGCACTTAGTAAGCCGAAGTTTTTGTCCTGGATTCAATAATTTTGTCATACAGATTTTTCAAAAACTTCAACCCTTTTGTGCTGAAGGTAGTTAGTTCATTTCTAAAAACTTCAGCACTTAGTAAGCTGAAGTTTTGTCATGGATTCATTAATTTTGTCATACAGATTTTTCAAAAATTTCAGCCATTTGTGCTGAAGTTAGTTAGTTCATTTCTAAAAACCAGCACGGGATGCTGAAGTTTTTTTAGTTTATCTTAAAAAACTTCAGCAGAACGAGCTGAAGTTTTTCTCCTACACTATGTACTTTATTAATTTTTTTTTTTTTGAAAAACTTCATACCAAAAAAAGCTTAAGTTTTCCGGAATATGCAAAACATTTTTCATATAATTTTTAGTATGCAGATTTTTTTTAGTTCATCTGCTAAAACATACTTAATATTTTGTCGTGCAATATGTAATTTTCGGATATGTTTTTTCTAACTCCTCTGTTATTTTCTAAGTTTAAAAAGGATTAATATTAAATGAAAAACGCACAAATACATTAATACAAAAATATCATTTTTCATTACATAAAATAAAACATAAATTGAAATTGAAATTATTTAGTTCATTCATCAAAACTTCAGTAAAGAGAGCTGAAGTTTTCCTCCTGCACTTTGTATTTTATTATGATTTTTTTGAAATACTTCATACCAAAAAATGCTTAATTTTCAGATGAATTTTTTTAATTCCTGCTGTAGTTATTTAGTTCATTTCCTCTGTCATTTTTTGTGTTTGAAGAGAATTAATATTAAAAAAAAATGCACAAAAAACATAAATCAAAAACAGAAATTTTCATTAAATAAAATAAAATTACATAAAAATCAAATAATATAATAATCCTTTATCTAAAAGGGTTATACAAAAAAAAAAGACTAATCGTCCATATTATCATCGTCGTCGTCGTCACTGTCAGATGGACGAGCATCTTCATCAACAAGATTATCAAATTTCACAAACATCTTAAGCCTATCAAGCTAGGTGTTGATTTCTTCCAGCTCCCTGTCATACTTCTCTATGAGCTCATCCAGTTTGAGCTCAAAAGCCTCTATTATGTCTTGCTTAATCTCGTCAATTATTTGCCTTATTACAGTATTCATTTTTCTTCGTTTTGTATTTTATCTGCTAAAATATATGTGTTTGAGTTAATAAACTCACAAGACATAGCACACTTATATAAGCGAAAAAAATTCTCCATGGTATATGAAAAGGCATAGAGGAATTTTAAACGTCTAATGAAAATCGTGCATGAACCTGATAGGAATGTAATTATTACACTAACACATACCCCAAAGCAAAATACTTACTACTTTAATTGTGTTTGTATACTATACAATTAATGCACTCTAAAAACTTCATGCTGAAACATACTGAAGTTTATTAAGTTCATTTGCTAAAATTTCACCCAATGTGCTGAAGTTGTTAAGTTCATTTCTGAAAACTTCAGCACCTAACAAGCTGAAGTTTTTGTTCTGGATTAATTAATTTTGTCGTAGAGCTTTTTCAAATAACTTCAGCCCATTGTGCTTAGTTAGTTCATTTCTAAAAACTTCAGCACTTAGTAAGCTGAAGTTTTTGTCCTGGATTCATTAATTTTGTAATACAGATTTTTCAAAAACTTCAGCCCATTGTGCTGAAGTTAGTTAGTTCATTTCTAAAAACTTCAGCATTTAGTAAGCTAAAGTTTTTGTCCTGGACTCATTACTTTTGTCATACAGATTTTTCAAAAAACTTCAGCAGTAGATGTTGAAGTGCTTTAGTTCATTTGTAAAAACTTCAGGACAAACAACCTAAAAGTTTTCCTCCTGGACTATGTAATTTTCTCTTGCATGCTGAAGTTTAATTTAGTTTATGCTTAAGTCTTGGCCTGCTTTAATCACCTTCTTCATCAGCTTTTGTTTTTAGAAAACTTCACTATCAACAAGCTGAAATGTTCTACTATATTTGCTCAACTTCAGCTACATAATTAAATTCTTCTGTTCACTTTCCTAATACTTGGCACTAAACATGCTTCTGCAGGATGAGTTCGATTTGTGTTGCTATTACTTTCAATGGGAGGTGGACTCTTGATTTCAAATACTTGGATCATGATACAAAACTTGTTCTGCTTAATAAGCAAGTATCATTTAATACTTTCCTGAAGAAAATTAGTGAAGTTACAAATATTGATTCAAGCAGAAATTCACTAAAGGTATGGTTTGATATCAAACTAAATACAAGCAAAGGAATGCTTGTAACTTCAGATGAAGAACTCAGTACCTGTATACATTTGCTTACAACTGATTCAACCTACAAGAATTGCCATTTCGTCGTCGAAAAAATACAACATTCATAATTTGCAGCATTCAAACAATCTCTTGCATATACAATATATTCAGAACCATTTGCTGATTATCAACATGAACTAGGACAACCAATAATGGAACTAGAGAACGAGCAACAACATTCTAACATTACAGCTGCTTCAGAATATACAATGCTGCAATAATTACCCGCTCTTCCAATAAATTCATACCAGTTTGTCGATGACCAGGAAGAAGAAGGACAGCTAATAATGCAAATTGACAACCAACACACAATCCAACAAAGTTTTTTGTAACCTTCTTCAATGATAAGCAACAACTAAAATGAAGTAAACATGGAGCTTATACCGATAACATCAGATAGAATTGAAGAAATTGCTGAAACTTCTAGTGCTTCTCAGAAATCAAGAAAAAAGTAAGGAGAAAGCTGAAAGAATCTCCACCATGTAAAATACTTAGGCACGATGCGTTGCCTGAGGAAGTAAGAGTCGGATCAATTTTTGAGAACAAACAAAACATGACTAAATTTTTTTGCAGCTTGGAGATAAACCAGAAAGTTGAATTCACTTTTGTTAGATCATGTTCAAAGAGATACGAACTGAAATGCATCGTAGAGAAATGTGGTTGGAATGTACGTGCTACCAGAATAAAAAATTCCACACTATTCAGGGTGATAAAATATCATAACAACCATGAATGCTCGATTGATGCAAGAAAATCAGATCAGAAGCATGCTACATCAAATTTTATAAGTGAACAAATTATAGAACACGTGCGAAACAAAAAGATAGAGGTTACACCCGCCTTTGGAGAAAATAAAATGAAAAAGAAATTTGGAATTGACATTGGTTATCACAAGGCATGGCGCGCTATTCAAAAAGCAATTGCTTGCATAAGGGGAACACCGGAAGAGAACTACCAGATTCTTCCTTCATACCTACACATGATGGTGCAAAAAAACCCAGGAACGTACACAAGCATAAAAAGAGATGAGCAAAATAGGTAAGCAAAACAATACTAACCATCAACCTGAAGTTTCAAATGTTCAAAACTTCACACCATATGATTTGTTTTTTTGTGTTTCACTGTACAAATTTACTTACATGTTCTTTGCTCCTGTGGCATCAATAGCTGGTTGGTCCTACTGTAGAGCCATTATTGCAGTAGATGCAATGTTTTTAAAGTCAAAATATTATGGTGTTCTATTTGTTGCTGTATCAAAGGATGCAAACAATCAAATCGTTCCTCTATCTTTTGGTATAGCAGAGTCAAAAAACAATGAGGCATACATTTGGTTCTTCGGGGAAATGAGAAAAGCAGTTCAAGTCCGTCGTGAACTGGTTTTCTTGTCAGATAGAAACCAATCGATCGCAAATGGGATTAGAAAAGTTTATCCTGAAGCTCACCATGGTATCTGCCTCTATCACTTTGAGAAAAATTTAAAGCAAAGACATGCAAAAGCCACGGTAATAAATCTTTTTCAAAGTGCTGCAAGGTCATACAAACGTGAAGATTTTAATCAGTTGATGTCCCAACTCAAAAGTGTTGACAAGAAAACATATAATTACATAATGGAAGAGCCTCCAGAGAGATGGGCTCGATCGTGGTTCCTACGGCGACGTATGCTAACAACAAACATGGTAGAATCAATGAATTCCGTTTTACTAAAAGCGAGAGAGATGCCTATTTTAAGAATGTTAGATTTCATCCAAAAAAAGTTGGGAGAGTGGTTTTACGAACGGAGAAAAAAAGCAAATGAAACTTTTCACAAGGTATCAATATGGGCAGAAGAAGAGATGACTAAGAAGATGGACTTGGCTTGCAAAATATTTGTGAGTATATTTATTAACTTCAGCTTTTTATATCTGTTGCAGTGATTTACTGCTTACATTTAAAAAACTTCATACTTTTTCTTTTCGAAGCAACAATACGCTAATACAGTTTATCTTAATTTTTATTCCTTCTTAGGTGTTCAACCTTGATTCAATGTTGTTTAGAATAAATAGTGAAGGAATCGAATTTATTGTGGACTTAAAGAAGAGAACTTGTGACTGCTTGGAATTCCAACTTGATGAATTGCCCTGTCCACATGCAATTGCTGCTATTAATAAGAGATATTTGCAGAAATCTAATTACTGCTCAAATTGGTATTCAAAGAAAACATGGTTGAAAACATATGAAGGACATGTGAATACCGTGGGACATCAAAAATCATGGGATATTCCACAAAATGTAGAACCTGATATCACAAAACCTTCCGATGTAGAGATTTTACAAGGAAGAAGACAAAAGAAGAGGCATATCCCTGCGACTGAATCAGTACCATTGAAGTCTACCAAATGCAGTCGATGCAAACAAGTTGGGCATAACAAAACAACTTGCTTGTCTTCTCCAGCACTTCATCCATATTCCAAGAAACACACTGAAAAATACTCCAACCTTCAATAATCCTTGGTCTGAATTTAGACTTTCATTATTATATGAAATATTTGAAATGTGATTTTTTCATAGGAATAAAAAAAAAGCTCTTGGACTATTTTATATACTGTTAAAGTACAAATCACTCATTTTTGTTGCGCAGGCTTATAGGTCTGGTTGTATTTTAAAAAAGTATGCAATGACTTCAGCGAGAAAAAACCTCAGGTTACGTTATGTGAAATACATATCCTTAACAAACACACACACACACACAAAAACACACACACACACAACACACACACATACACACACACACATACGCGTACAACACACAAAAGAGATGAGGATGAGAATTAGATTGATACAGAAAGATACCCGGACAACACACAAAAGAAACACATGTACAAACAAAAACTTCAGCATCTCTAGGCTGAAGCTATAGAAAATGAACTTAATAACTTTACCATATTCTCTAATGAATATGCTGAAGTAAACAAAAAAGTACATCATAAAAACATAAAAAAAGTATTACAAAAACTAAGCATCATCACCATCATCAAAATAGTACTCCTCAATTTCTCGAAATATCTCATCATCATCTGTATCGGAGATAACTATAGGGTACTCGGGCAAAAGACCACAGTGTCCAACGAGATCAATCTTCAACTTGTTGAATTCATCAAGCAACTAACTTTGTTCAACTATTACTCTGTCCATAAGAGAAAGAAGAGTCTTCAGGTTGTTTTGCAGCTTGGCATAGTCGTCCCCGATGAGAAACTTAAAATTATCAAACTGATGCACGACCTTGTCAAACGAGGTTGAATAACCTCCACAACTACGTTCCAGGTTAAACCTGTTCTGGAATGATTCATTGGCAAAAAACTGTGGTATGATTCTCTCCCAATCAGCCTTTATTTGATCCAACAAATGCATAAGATTAGACACCGACATGTTATTGTACCACTCACACTTCAAACTCTCCCACTTATACATAATTTCATCCATTGTAGGCTTCCTACTTCCGCTTGCACCAGACATTCTTTCTTTCACAAAAGCTAAAAGGCTAAGGATGAATATAAATTTAAAGATATATGATGGAACTCTATGAATGACTATAGAATTTTCAAGTGAAGATGTTGTTAATATAGCTAAAGAGTGCACCTAATCAATTTAATATCTATAAATGTAAAAGTAACTTTTCAGGTGTTTTTACTATTTTACGTTTAGAGAAGTTGAATGAAATAAGATAAGTAGGTGGTAAAATAAGAAGGTGGCAAATGCAACAAGAAATGTAACTTCAGCCCTAATCAGCCCACATTTTTTCAACAGTAAAAAAATAACTTCACTCTAAAAATTTTTCACATAATCAATGCAAAAGCAAAAGATGAAGTAGGTGATAAAAGACCAAAAGTAGCTAGTAAATGCAAAAAAGATAACTATCAATTTAAAAAAAATACCAAAACATGCTGAAGTTTTTGTCTTAAAAGCTATTTCAAAAACTTCAGCAGAAACCGCTGAAGTTATTTAGTGCATTTCTAAAAACTTCAGCAGAATAAGCTGAAGTTTTTTGTCGTGGATTCAATAGTTTTTTTCGGCGTCCCCCCAGAGCTTTTTTCGAGTGTGGTGATACATGCCACATGGTTAGGGACTGGCCCAGACTTGGTAGGGGTGCATCTTCACAGACTGCTCAGCCACAGCGTGCTCCTCAGAGTTCTCAGGCCATGATCACAGCTCCAGCTGCTACCCCACCTGCCCAGCCGGTTAGGGGCGGAGGTCGGGGAGATAGAGGTCGCCCTCGAGAGAGGGGCCCTCGAGAGGGGCCGGGCCAGATATTATGCTATTCCTGCTCGTACTGAGGTTGTTGCCTCCGACTCCATCATTATAGGTATTATACTGGTTTGTCACAGAGAGGCATCGGTTCTATTCGATCCGGGCTCTACTTATTCTTATGTGTCTTCTTACTTTGCTCCGCATTTGGGTGTGCCTCGGGATTCTTTGAGTGCCCCCGTTTATGTTTCCACTCCTATGGGGGATTCTCTTGTTGTGGACCGCGTTTATCAGTCATGTTTGGTTACTATTCGTGGTTTTGAGACCAGAGCGGATTTATTGTTACTCGGTATGGTGGATTTTGACATTATTTTGGGCATGGACTGGTTGTCTCCCCATTGCTGTTCTTGATTGTCACACCAAGACCGTGATGCTGGCTATGCCAGGTATTCCGCGTATTGAGTGGAGTGGTACTTTAGATCACACTCTCAGTAGAGTTATCTCTTTCCTTAAAGCTCAGCGTATGGTTGAGAAGGGGTGTGCCGCGTATTTAGCATATGTGAGAGATGTCAGTGTTGACACCCCTTCTGTTGATTCAGTTCCAGTGGTACGGGATTATCCCGATGTGTTTCCAACTGATCTTCCGGGCATTTTTGTCCTGGATTCAATAGTTTTGTCGTAAAGCTTTTTCAAAAAATATCAACAGAACATGCTGAAGTTATTTAGTTCATTTCAAAAGCATTAGCACTTGATAAGCTGAAGTTTTTGTCCTGGACTCAATAGTTTTTGTCTTAAAAGCTATTTCAAAAACTTCAGGAGAAACCGCTGAAGTTATTTAGTGCATTTCTAAAATCTTTAGCAGAATCAGCTGAAGTTTTTTGTCGTGGATTCAATAGTTTTGTCCTAAAAAGCTTTTTCAAAAAACTTCAGCAGTAGGCGCTGGAGTTATTTAGTTGATTTCTAAAAACTTCAGCAGACTGTGCTGAAGTTATTTAGTGCATTTCTAAAAACTTCAGCACTTGATAAGCTGAAGTTTTTGTCCTGCAGTCGAAACTTTTGTTATGACTTTTAACCAAAACTTCAGCTTAAAAAGCAGAAGTTATTTACTTCATGATGAATTTCAACAAAAATATACTTAAAATTCATGAAAAAAGACACAAACATATTTGATTCGACCCAAGTCAACTAAAAAACTAATTAATGCGAATAAAACAAAAATTTAAAAGACAGACATCACATAATTCATACAAATTAATGTATATTCACAAAATCCAATTATGTTTTCACTTACATCCTTGAAAAAAAAGAAATAATTTGTTTTTTGTTTACAAGTTATTCTCTATTCAAAAAATTCACAGACTATCTTCGTATTCTCCATAGTCATGTCCTAGTTGCTCATCTGGGGTTTTATAATCGCTATCTTGTTACCACTTTCCATGAGTCCAAAGATTTGAAGCCAATTCTCTGCTGAATACCAATGCATGCCTTTGGTTATAGAACTCTAAAATTCGCTTCCAACTGAACTTTACTACTATGATCTTTTTAGGAACTCCCTTCTTCTTTCATAAGAAAGAAATAAGAAAATATTGGCAAAGACATGCTTACTGGTGTGCAACTGGGAATTCGTGGGAAGCAAAGATAATGAAGAAGAAGTCCAAAATACTTCATATGTGACGGAGAGTGGCCACATCAAAAACTCGAGCTCCAGGACAATTTGCTCTTTTTACTAAAAGTTAGATTTATCAACTAGTAAAAAGAGCAAATTGTCCTGGGGTGATTTCGGGTGGTTAACGGAAGAATTTTGAAGTGTTGCATCAACTGAAGTGTTCCTCTTCTGGTATTTTCACATCTGCGGCTTGGGAACCACAGATGCGGCGCCGCAGAAGCGGCTTTACCCCTTTCCCTCAGAAACCGCAGAAGCGGTACAATTCTCGCAGAAGCGGAGCCGCAGAAGCGGCTCATGCATCGCAGATGCGGGATCCTGTATCTCCCTAGTTTTCGTAGAAACGAATGTTCTCCCGCAGATACGGTGTCGCACATGCGACCCTTTTTCGCAGATGCGGTCCCTACCTTTTTAATGAAAATCGTAGAAGCGACTCTTGTTCCGCAGAAGCGGGACCGCAGAAGCGGTCCCTTGTCCGCAGAAGCAGAAATTCCTGTGCAGATATAGAAATTCCGAGGGTTAGATTTCATAAGTTAGAAAAATCAAATTGAGCACGGGGAAGGGCAATTTTCAGAGGGTTTTGAAGAGAAGACTATTGGGTAGAGTTTCTTAAGTCCCTTCTAGTTATATTTCATCATTTTGTAGTTAAATCCATCATTAAAATTCGAATTTGGAATCAAAAATTGGAAAAAATTGGGTGAAACTTCATAGGCTAAACTATTGGGTTTTTGAGTGGGTGTTTGACCTCCAGGCGTAGGCGGAGCTGGAGACTGCCGGCTGCTGGAAGAGCTGAATGAACAGGGCGACCCGCATAACCTCTACCATAACGAGCTGCTGATGGGATACGGGCACCAGAGTAGTGACCCGACTCTCGAGACCTCTTGGCCTCCCTCTCCCCTTGCTCCCTGGCGAGCATACCCTCAATACTCCTAGCAATGCTCACTACCTGCTGATAAGGAAGGTCTGTCTCCAACTCTCGAGCCATGCTAGATCTGATGGGTGGAATAAGACCCTCAATGAACCTGCGAACTCTCTCCCGAACTGTAGCAACCAAAGCCGGTGCATGCTTGGCCAACCTGGTATAACAGATAGCATACTCCGAAACGGTCATAGCACCCTGGCGCAAATGCTCAAACTCTGCGCGCCATGGATCCCTGAGACTCTGGGGGACAAACTCTCTCATGAACATATCCGAGAACTGGGTCCAAGTCAGTGAAGCAACCTCGACTGGACTGTCTAACTCATAAGTGCGCCACCAATCATAGGCGGCTCCCCGAAGCTGAAAAGCAGTGAAAGAAACCCCGCTGGACTCCACTATGCCTATAGTGCGAAGAATACGATGACACTCATCTAGAAATCCCAAGGCATCGTCTGATGCTAATCCACTGAACACTGGGGGATCATATTTCTTGAACCTCTCAAGTCTACGTTGCTCGTCCTCTGAAGCAGCTGACCCATCCTCGGGCTGAACTGGTGCTGCAGGAAGTGCGGGAATAATCTCGGGAGCCTGCTCAACCTGCACTCGCTGATCAGGAGTGCGGACGGCGGGAGTCTGTGCTCCTCCCCCGGCCTGGGATGTGGCTGCAGCAAGGGGAAGCAA